CAAGGGGAATTCCTTTTTACCCTGCTCAAATGTGCTTTCCTTAACATCTAAGCAGAGACAAATCTTCCCACTTTCATTTCAGTAAGCATTAAATACACAGAACCCACACAAAATTTGGTAAACTTAAGATTCAAAGTTGTAGAGAAAAAAAAGAGATAACACAAATCCATTTTATTTCTGAAAGACTGGACTGGTATGCACTGCCACCTTGCTAAAGTAACATCAGGGGCTAAAGCAACTGCGAACAGTTTAAAGGTTCATATTGTTACAATTTAGATGAATAAGTGCATTCTGTTTATGCAAGAGAGGACTAAGTGGAGTTTCAGATCAGCACCATCTCTACAGGGCTGGAAGGGAAAGCCATCTGTTGGCAATGTGTATGACACTGTTGAACTACTACTGAAGCCTCAACAAATGGCTACCTAAATAAACATTTACACACTGTCAGGCACTCAAACTCTACTGGCAAATGCCTGTTTTTGTTATACCAACATCTGTGTTTAAGTCACTAGCAGAAAATTTTACCAGCACTTAGAACCAAACAGCCTTGGTAGGTGTAACTTATTCAATGAAGATGCAACATCCAGGATTAAAATGCCTACAGCACTTCAGAGCAAACAGCGTTTCAAACATGAGATGGTAATGCATCACTTTAGTCAGTGCAACTGGAACAGATTAGAAAACCATGTTCACCCCACTTAACATATTGTACAAGGAGATAAGTAAATAGTAAAGAGGTCCAAGAACCAGTAATTCCTCTATTTGCCTTCAAAAAAAATTTTTTTTAGTTAAGCATTCAGTTCATTTACATTCTTCTCCCCTGCTTGTAAGTAAATGAAAACTAAATGCTTCTTTGCATACATTATAAAATTAAGGTAGTAATCCCTCTCCAGCAATGTGTCTTGGAAATGGAATGAAACTATCCTGAATCTCTTAAACCCGGTGGTATGAGAAATGCTAATTAGAGCTCATCTCTCTCCTGTGCATGCTGTTTTCCCATATATTGGGAAGCAAAAGGGCAAAATCTTGAAAGCTTCAATTTCTAATGAATTTTATCTATTTAGGTCATAAATTAATGCCTAACTCAAATTGGCATCAATAAATATCATAAGAAAACTGAGGTCAAGTATCCTTGGCTTCACCATCTTCAATGTTTCCAAACGAGGAACTGTATTCTTCCTATAACACTTCAACTATAGCCTTGACTATGATGGAGAATCTTCCCTCTTTCAGCAAACTGCCCATCAGAAAGTGGAGGGTAATCTGCTGCCTAGGTACTAGTGAAGTAGGGAAAGAAAAGCTGACATATGCCTGGAACTGCCAATGAGCAATTTTAAATTCCATCACCAAGCAGGGAAAAAGAACCAACTGTTTTAATCTCAAGGTCCACCGTAAGCTGGTCAAAAGTATTCCCCATGGCAACCAGAAATGCCTTTTCTAAATTTTTTACACTATTAGGAAACAAGCATCCCATAGCTTTAGTAAAGTAAGCATTGTGGATAAGTTTTGGTTTGTTCAGTTCTGGAAAATTGGGATTTCTTTTCTTCTTTATATAGAACCACACACTTGACAGTTCTTGCTTTTACAGGTGAAAGACACAAATGGTAACCTCTTCAAGGAGAATCCTTTCAAGCGGTTTCCACAAAGGGGCTGCTGTCCTGACAAAGGACTCTAACAAAATACTTAAAGATCCTCATCTTCTGAGGAAAAACTGGAGAATTTAAAACAGAACATGGATTTTAGCTATAAAAGCTCAAATTAAGAAAAAAAAAAAAAGCCAACCCAACTGTGATCACAACCATTCTGAGTTTAGAGCTTTGGAATTCTCAGTCATTTAAGGATGACAACACTAGATGATTGTCTCAAATGACCGACAAGCCCTACAGAAATCCTAGTGGTTGGAACACTGGCTGGACTCACTGTCAGCCAGTTCAAGTTACCCCATTAAGCAAACAGAGAAAAAAAACTGGAGGGCCTTTTAAAGGACATTGTCTCTCTTCTGAGATGTTGACACATGCCAGGTACTTCAACATTAAGACTAGATTTGATGTTTGCCAATGAGTATCTTAGAGTCAGTGCTCTCAGAATACCTTAGCAAAAGATGCTAACGTTTTGAAGAGGAGCATTTCTACAGTAGCCATAGTAGAAGCAATGCAAGTCACTTAGATGATGGACAAATTTAGGTGGCAAAATGTGTAAGGGGGCTATTAAAATAATAATAAAACCCCCTCAACTGTGAACCTAAAATTAGTTTGTGTTCCAACATACAATACTCACCACTGCTGATCACATTAACTTAAGCTTTTAGTTCTCCAATATTTATTAAGTAGCAGCCATAGTTACAGGACAGCTGGTGGTAAACTGAGTGTTGAGAGCAGTCTGTGCTCCAAAGGTTTGCCATTTTGAAGCCAAAAATCTATCACTTTGATAATCTCATCCGATTTGCTTGTACAACACCATAACATTTTTTTTTCCCAGAAGACAGTTAAATTGTGTATTTTAAAAAGATACTTAACACAAACTCACAGTCAATGAAGAGTCCAACACTTCCTCTGTTTCAATTTTTTGTTATACTTACTACAGAAAACTGAATTTGTCTGGTTTGGCTTCTCAGTATTTGAGCTTGCCTGACTTTGATGTCAGGATTAAGAAGTGCTGCCCTCCCACTCCGCACTACCAGATATTTTTTTCCATGTGTAAATATTTACTGTCCAGTATCAAAATGCTGCTTCATCTTCTTTGGTAATGACAGTTCCTCAAACCTCACACTGTACTCTACTATCCAGCCCCAGATCTTACTTTAAACTCAATTACTGCTATAGCCTTCTCAAGTGCAGACATCAACATTGAACAGTTTTCTGGTAGTCTTCTCCATGCTGTTTTGGAAGCAAAGTAAGTTCTCTACTTTTATGTATTTTTTCCCTTCATGTACGTTCAAGGACTTCATCGGGCTTTCAACTACAACTCTGAAGGCCTGGCACTGAGGTGGTTCTCTGGCACAAGTCTTTTTACATCGCTGCTTTTTGTCTACTATATACAGAGTGTACAAACTTTGTTCAAAGAGACCATTGTTACTTTGTGATGACTTATTGCAGCTATAGCTGTTTAATCTGATGATTCAGAGAATAATGGCACAATACCATGTTCTTATTATTTTCTCTTCCACTGTTTTTTTCTCTTCTCCAAACTTTATCAAAGAGTTGATGCCTTCTATGCTTTTCTGTATAAATTATTGTCTAACAAAGAATGATGGTATAACTCTAGATTGCTTCTGTTCTCTTAAAGGAATTAATCTATGTACCAGGACTTCTAAGGTACTTGCACATGTAAGATCTCCACCCCATTTTCTAACTCTCCTCTTCTAACCATTTCCCTAGCCACAGTAAATGCTTCTGTTAACATCACCACTGCTTCTTGAGGACAGAACTAACACATCGGTTATGTACAGTGGAACCTAAACAGAAAATGATAGAAAAGACACATATCACTTGATTTCAATTAGCTACAGGTTTTGAAGGCTCCTTACTAGAAAACAATTTAGGCAGTCAGTGAATTCATTCTTTCATACTGTACAGCATGTACATATTGGCAGAAGTGAGCCCCTAATCACAGGTCCCTGGCACTGGCACCCGCTACTGAGGCAACTAGAATACCCCTATGGAAGAGCTGAAACTATGTAGTCATCACTGGGTAAATTGCTTGTGTTCACTAGAGCAAGAAGTATTTCTTTGGAATGTACCTCAAAAGAAATTCCTGCTCAGTATTAATATTTTCAGACAAACTGAATGAAAGGCACTGTTGCTCAAGCAGTACATTTGTTGTCTCCAACTGTTAAAAAAAAAAAAAAGATGCTTTTGAACAACTAGCTACTGTTGCCCCAAGAAGGCTTCCTTGTTACCTCATAGTAATTTCATCTCTCCCTATAAAAGCTTAGCATAAAAATTGCTTTTATCTGAAGCATGTCGAGTCTCACCTTTATATCTATCTTTATATCTAAAATTATGAGTTAGTATAACAGTATGCATTATAAAATTAGACCATTTACTTCAGACATGTCTGAACAGCTAAATCTTCAAACTATACAAAAATAAAGTGTATGAAATCTTACAAAAGGAGGACATTAAGACATTAATAGCTAATCCAAAAAATATAATAACTTATACACAGCAGTAAGCATAAGCAATGTAGCCTACAACAGCTTTCATTTAACAGGACCTCTGAAACATGTCTGAAATAAGCATCAGCTAAAATTGGAACATTCCCAAGCACAATAATGTTTCCAATTTATTATCTTTACCACAGTACAAACTTTCACAAACCAAATGTCCATTGTCTGTCAGTCTGTAAACAAAAGGTACTATCCCCCTCCTCATTTTAAGAGGGTGAATATGTTCAGTCCTCAGTCAAGTTTCATATCCATCACTTGCATAAGGAATGAAGAGCCTCTTCTCTTGTTAAATTACTTTGTTCTTTTTTTTTTTTTTTTTTTGTCATACAGCCTGCAGTGAAGTAAAATCACAGTGAAAGTCCTGGGAAAAACATGATCTTTACAGCAGGACTTGAACCATTCTAATAATAAATGCATCTAACAAAGCTTCCCATAATAAAAGCATGGCATTTCCATGTCCAGAAATCAAGTCAATTAGAAATCCTAAGTTCTACTTAAAAACCCCAAAAGATCTAAAAGTGAAAAGATTCATCTTCTCAGTCAAATACAAGTCTTTCAGTTTCACTTGCAGAGAGACTTTTCCAGTCTGTAAAACAGTAGTGCAATTCAATTAGTTCTACTCCTTTTATTTTTCTTAAAGTCCAGTAGATAAATGTCCTAGCTCTACGGAAAGATAGGAAGATGCTCCGGTAAACAAGAAACTTTGGCAAGCCCAGGAAGGCTTACTAGTCCATTAAAGCTTAGAAGTCCAAAGTGGCTTAAAAATGGTTTATGAATAAACAAAACAAAAAACCCCAGCAAAACAAAATAGAAAAACTAAAAAAGATAAACTAAAAAAAAAGAGAAGAAATAAATAGGCAGAAATGAATGTAAACTGTCTGAACTTTTTAATGCTTTCTCATTGACAGCTGGCATGACTTTTGATAGTACAGTCAGTTAAATATAGTTGACCTACCGAGCATTCCATTAGGGCATCCAGTCTGGAATGCTCAAATGGAATTACATTCCTAAATATTTAAAAAATAGAGTTCTTATAACATTACTATAGATTTCTTCTGTCCACCTCACTTACACTTCTTCTTAAAGAGGCTTTTTATTTTTGATGGCTTTTTGTTTTTTTCACCATTTTGGTACAGGTCCTGTGGGATGCTACTTATCCTAGGGACAGAAGCAGCTTCATGGCAGGGTTTACTGTCACTGCTGGCTGAAGAACACGAGGTGTGCCGAGGCTTTGGGACTGGCATCCCAGTTGAAAGCTGGTTCATGCTGCAGGACTTCTCCAGGATTCCATTATAAACTTTGCTTGCAGGACTAAAGATCATGCTCTTAGTTTCTGCCATGCCTACACAGTCAGGAGAGCCCCTAGAAATATCTGCAGTTAGAGAAGAGGAGTCTCCTGTAGATGATTCCTCCAGTGAGAATTCTTCTGGGGATACTTTCTGAGGAGAAGGCGTCTGGTACATCTCAAGACTTGCTGGAGGAGACTGCTTCCTTCCAGTGGATGAATTTAAGGAGTCACATTCCGAACCTGTTTCCTGTACTTCCCTGAGTCAGAGCAGAGAGGAGAAAACATAATGAAACTACTATTTCCTTCCTGCAGTTAAAAAGGAAATTAATTTAGAGTCAATAACGTTAGTCTAAAAGCACCACCCACACTTTTCCTTAGTAGTTAATTAACAAAAAACCATTAGGTTAAATATTTTAACTTACAACTTGCATTACATCATTTTATTATCTAAGCTTAAGATAATTAATTTGTGCGATCTTGTTTTTGTGGGCAGCAGCATCTGCCCAGAATCAGTCATTTGTATCTCACTGCAAAGAAAAACTATCTTTCTGGCACATGAAGTCAGAAAAGTTATGAAATGAAAGAAGATTTAAGCCTATCATATACAAAAAGTTTCTTCAGGACAAGTGTCCCTACCTTTCAACAAGCTCATTTGCTCCTTCCAAAAGGAATTTAACCTTTTCCTATGAGGCCATGTAACAAGAGTAGGTACACGCTCAACATGCTGTAAGAATTGTGTTACCATCCATCTTCTCTTCGCCCAGTAGCTGACATTGCTTTTGATCCTAGTTTCAGATGTAAAAGCCAGTAACATATTGTAATGGAGAATCAGGGTTAGTTCAGTGCACCCTGGATTGTAACATTACTTAACTGTATACGACATGCTAGCTATTTACATACACATACCAGACTAGAACTCTCTCTGTTCCATGTGGACTACATTAATTTATATTATCCTACAGATTACTTTAACTTTTGGCTTGGTTCAACCTCTTAATTCTAAACTGTTAGTCTCAAATAATCCTATCAGCGTTCCAAGTTCTGTTTGCTAATCTCCGTACCATTGTTTATCAGCAGAGAAGTAAATGGCTTCCTCCTCCTCTTCAGTTCGATAAAGAGCTGGGCAGCTCGACACAGAAAGGATGTCAGGGTCAGGGGAGTGCAAAGCATGCTGAGACTGTGGAGATGATGGCACAACATTGCGTCTTGATCGACACAAGCTACTGCTTCTTGCCAGTGTGCTGGGAGGTTTTACAATGGACCCTGAGGCAAAGAAAAAGCAAACCAAAACCCTCCAAGTGACATTGATGTTAACAATATCTACTCTGAAGACTACATAAGCAGCTATCTGCTTCAGTCACAGCGGTTCTTAAACAACTTTGACATTGCTTGACTGTTTAGGGGAAAGAAAAAGGCTGGCATTATAGATTCTACAGTTAGATGAAGAAGCTGCAGATGTAACTGCAGCAGTTTTGTACCTGCCAAATGTTACTCTGACTATGTGCAAAGCTCTGGCTCACTATGCTCTCTTGAGAACAAAGAAAGATTCTACTGAAACTCCCAACTCTTTATAAACTAAAAATAGCAGTGCTGAAATGAAATTAGTGTGTTACACAATATCCTGTATTTCACTTGTGTGGCAATTTGGAGCTTAAAAGAATATGTAAGAGTTTTGAAATGTAGGTATATCTAACCAAACAGCTAACTGAAATACACTGCATTAGTTCAAAGTTACATTAGACATGGAAGACCAATTTCATTTGTAACATGATGGGAAATATACAATTCAACCTCATTTTAAGCTCAAGAATTTCCTGTTTGATAACACTTTCTTTTGCCAGGCTAACTATGAATTTCCAGAAACAAAAATACTAAGAATGGGTGGAGACAGTAACACAAGATTTGACCAGGAAAGTATCTAACAGGAAGTTACAAACTAAAATGTTCCTAATCCAATTCCCCCTTCAGAAGGTGATTAGGCAGCAATACTTCTATGGAAATAAATCTACAGACCTGTTTTCAGGTTAGCTGTTATAAGCTTCAGGATTTCTGATACTCCTCCTCAAATTGTCCCACAGAATGCATCATTGCTTATGTAAGACCTTTACTGATGTTCAAAATGTTTACCAAACAACACACTTTTTAGTGTGTCTATTTTTGTAGACAAGGATGTCTAGCCTGACAAAGTGCATTTTATATTTTGGGATGCCAGTTTAGCATCAGAAAAATTACAGTTTCCCTTCCTGGAATCTCAGGTGTCATTCTGCTTTAAATGCAGGAAATCACAACTTTCACAAAACTGCAAGTAGCTACACCTTCGTCAACACTTATGCTTTGTTTCCTGACAGGCTGAGCAGAAAAGAAAGGTTTATATGTCCCAACATGACAGTTGTCATGTAACTCAAACTTTTGATTTTACTTTTGATGAACTCCCTACTGACCTGAAAAGCAGGTGTTGGCAGCTCAAAAATAAGCTTATGCCATTACAAAAATATTCCTAAAAAAGCAAATGTGAACCAAGAGAATAATAATCCCTTTAGGAAATTTGTACAACATGTCCATGTAAATCAGATGTCATACTACTCGTTGGTGTAAAAAAGAACAAGATTGCACCATTACTGATTTTTTTCAGAGAAGTTAGAAGCATTTTGGTTTCTTGTAGGTGTATATACAAGGGATTACGAAGGATTCAAGCAATGACAATTTAACATCTAGAATTTTCCAGTACACTAAGTGAAGGAATCGGCTGAATCCTAATCATTCAAAGGAAAAGTAGAAGTTTCACTATCACCTTCCTGTAACAACTTGTACATCCCCTTTTGTTCTTCAGCTCAGGACTGATTAAACAGATCTAATACTTCACACCATTTTAGCCTATCACCCCAACTGCTGCGCCCTGTCTGGCAGACTTCAAATTTTGTAAATCTTAAGAGATCAAAGGATGCTGACCAAGTGAGGTAACAGCCCAGACAGTTCAATTTAGGTCCAGACAGTGAAACAGTCTCTCATAACTGACTTGTCTGCACACTGCATTTTGCTTGAAGCCATTTTGCTTCTGTCCTTCCTCATGTGCATTGTCATTTTTGTCTAAAGGATAGGAATAATTTAGCAGTTACTAAACTAACCTACAATAATTTGACTCCTGAACTCATTTCAGCAGATCATTTAGCATATTTTCCCTCTCTGTCTGGGCTCCCAAGTGTTTCCAGTTGTTTGGGGTTTTTTTTACTGAGTAGAAATTATAAAAGCTAGTAAATTAAGGAGAAGCTACTTCCCTCATGTGATGACTTGAACAAAATCAGGCTCTCATGCCTTATCAAAATTCAGAAAAACACATTTAAAGTTTTTGTAATGTTACTAAGATTCAGATAACTTTAATCACTGACTGAGACAGCATCCATTAGCTAAATACTTCCAAATGAAGTGAATTCTAACAAAGTCTGAAGTCGTACATACATGTTTAAGTGTTTTGTCATTTTAGAACATCTGAAAAGTCACGATAATAAATGAAGCTCTTCATTTTGAAATCAGACCACAGGTTTCTCCATACAAACTTGGAAGTTTAGCTCTACACAATCATATTTTACTGAAATACAAGAAATTTGTTGCTAAGATTTAAATCAAAGCCTTCACAACAAAGACATCCAGAGAGACAGTATTCTTTAAAAGTGATCAGAACTTGCAACAGTGCTGCAAGGGGATTAATGACCTTTTCAATGTGGCCTGTAGAAAAAAAGTTGGTACATTCAGAAGAAAAACGTGTGCCCAATATGCACTAAATGAAGCCAGCAAAATGGCGGCTATTCTCATGCTATTTTAAAATACAGTTCTAATTTCTTCTGAGAATGCCAGCCCTGAAAGAAAAATGTATACATATGACAAAACTTTTTTCCTTGCTCATTCCTCAGCTTGATATTGCTTGTTTGAATAGCTACATGGAGCTCATCCTTTTGATTTGCCTCTAGAGTCCAGTTAATCACAACTTCCATGAAACAAGCTCTTGTATTGACGCAATGACTCAGGATACGAGGGTGGTCTGAATCCCCAGTGTATATCTTTTGATCATAGTTTAACCAAAGCTGGACTTCTCTCCCTCCAGCACTTGGCCCCTCTGCCTCACACTCAAACAACCCGCTGTATCCAAACACAAACATTCTGCCTGAAAGCCTCCCTTAGACAACAACAGGCTTTTGTTCCAGCCACTAAAGAATGTTTGAAAAGCTGTGTAGCATGTTGCCTCTCAAAGGATGTGATCTTCCTAGTAGTAGCTCAAGGGACCCTAGACCAACTCCATTCCTTCCACCTGAAAGAATAAATGTGCTAACAGAAATCCAGCATTACTCATTATAAATTTTTGTCTAAGTGACAATCCAAGCATGACAAGCAGACTTGCAAAACCTTAGCTGGTTTTGCCCCCCACTCCCCCCCTGAAAGGGAATACAGGCTTTTTCATCATGTTATCTTTATTGCAGAACCCAGTTTTCAGTTTATGCAAGTCCCAAAAAATGCATCTGAAATGCTAGACAGAATTTTGGTCCTTTTGGCTTTGATTCAATCCTGTCTGACATCAGCACTCTTCTCCCACTTGACTTTAAAATCCCATGCCTCCACAACTCTATCCCTTTTTTTTTTACTAAGGTCACCACTTACCATGAAACTGTGAAACTATTGGAGGAGTATCTTCATCTAAGTCATCAACTCCCCCTGCAATTGGGTAAGGAGGAATGGAAACTCGAGGCATAACTACCCAGCTGTGATCAGAGTAGAGAGAGGAGGTCAAGCTTGGTAGCCCAGAATTGTGTGCTATTTGAAAACCACAAATCTTCTCAATCTGTTGCCATCGATAAAGACGCTCTCGCAAACATGTCGTCAACTCAGAAAGTGCTTTCCTGCAGAAAAGCACATATTAAAGTTATATACACTGTTCTTAATGATAAAGCAAAACAACACAAGTGCAGTCATTCTAGCATACCAGAAGATCCATCAGGACTGTCCAAATATTCACACTGCATCTTTTAAAGTATCTTTTAAGCTGCTTTACTTAAAAGTGTAAAAACACGAAGACACTAAATTCCGTAACTCTCAAAAAAATTCCATTGTTCCAGGAATAAACAAACACAAAAGAATATGCATCCTGGTAATACTCTTACTTTGCTTCAAGGATTTTATGGTCCACTTCATCCAGGGAGGAGCTGTGTGCAACATGTAGTGTTCCAAATACAGTGCTTCTCTTCTTTTTTATCTTTTCTGCCTAAACAGCAAGATAAATTAAATGCATAAAACTAGATACTTAACACAGATGAGAAGACATTAGCAATATTGACAAGGAGCAAACAACTACTCAAGGGAGAAAAAAAAATTAAAATATCCAAACACTTATCTGAATAATTTTTATTTACTATTTCATATCTCTAATAACAGACCAGAAAAGTCTTTAAGCAGCTGAAGAGTAAGAGTTGGTACCTCATCTTTGGCAATTGCTAATTGCATTTCTGCATGCTGTCTTTTGATATTGTAATATTGTACTTCAACTTCATGTGTTAACTGAAGCCACTTCTGCAAAGCTTCAGGAACAGACCAATTACTTCTCAGCTCAAACTCCTTCTCAGCCTTTTTTAAAGCCATGCGAACCTAGCGATCAAGAAGAAATACAAGTGTCACCAAGAGTGTCATTAGAACTGACAGCAGAAGAAAGTGAAATATAAGCACCTTTATACCCCACAGCAACAAACTAAGGCTTTACAGAGCTTTCACGTGTGCCAATTGCTGTCAGGAAGGCAGATCATGCATTTCTGAAATATTGCATACAAATTTCCACATACTGTATTATACTCAGATTTTTTTTTTCCCCTATCATATATGGTCCCTAACTTGAAGCTTAAATATTTTTGTAAGATACCATTTTCTATTTAGTACAATAAATCCAATCTATCACTACTCAGAGTGAGACAAAGCTACTTCTCTCACCTCATAACAAGATAGAAAAAAAAAAGCTTTTGTATATATTTTGTTCCATGAATCCAACAACGTTATGATAAGTTAATATACAAAGTGTATGTCTTTTCATAGTTTCAGGATTATTTTTCTAGATAATGGTATGACTGACAGACGATCATTAACTGCTCTCAGAATTTTCCATTCAATTCTAGCATTACAGAAATGCTGCTTTAAACACTTTTAAGGACCTAATAAAACCAGGACCAATTTAAAGTCAACACTACAATTGTTAACAGTTTGCAGATACCTGTACTAGCTCCTCCTCTGCATATTTGAGCCTGCTGAGCTCACATTCAGCTCCCTCCCTCAATTCCCTTAGGCGATGTGCTTCCCGTTTTGCATCATTGATCTCATCCATCATTTTGCGCTCCAGATTTTGCTTTTCCACAGCAACATTTCTATTCTCTTCTTGTGCCTTCTCAAGTCTTCACAATTGAACAAAAAATATGAGAAAAAAAACAAAAACAAAAACACAGCACATTTGTTAAAAGTTGCAGTCCTCAGGAGAAGAAAATGTGTCCAGCAACAGGGCAAAAGGCAATGGGCACAAACCAAAACACAAGAGGTTCCGTCTGAACATCAGGAAATACTTTTTCACCATGAGGGTGACTGAGCACTGGCACAGGTTGCCCAGAGATGTGGTAGAGTCTGCATCCTTGGACATATTCAGAAGCTGCCTGGACATGGTCCTGGGCAACCTGTTCCTAGATGACCCTGCTTGAGCAGGTGGGGCTGGACAAGATGACCTCCAGAAGTCCTTTCCAATCTCAACCATTCTGTGATAATAAAGACTGTGCAAGCTTCATGAACCAGCAACAATTACATCACACAACGTGATGTCCACGTCAGACAAAAATATGAGAACTTGTAGGTGAACCTTCATTACAGGTGTAATAAGATCAAAATACAAGTCTTTATAGAAATGTTCTCATTTCCATGTATGTATGTATTCCAGAATAAACTGTAATTATATGAAAATAACAGTACGTACTATTTAATCTGTAGGTAAAACACATTGAACCTCTTTCTCTAGCTTCCTCCCCAAATTCATACTGTCTGCTAAAATATCCAGGAGCAATTCCTACCCAAAACCCCATCGTCACTGAAATCACAATTTCCATGCAAAATAACGATGAACAAAATCCAAAGGCAGCTTAACGCAAATAACTTATGACTGTAAAGGATCTGTATTTGTATCTAACCTCAAAACAAAAGGAAAACTAAACATTAACTTTTTTAGTTTTTATACCTTTCCTGAAGGTCAAGAAGACTTTGCTCTGCTGTTTGGAGGCTTTCTAAGTCTTTCATCATTTTTGTGATATGTTCTCTTGAGGTTCGGTTCTGTGTATATGCAAACCAGCAGCCTCCAAAACCAATAACTATAGAAACTGTTAATATAAAATCCTTCATCCAGTTGTGAGGGGGACCTGTGCAGAGAATAACATGATCATTAACTAGTTCATTGATATAGACATCAGATTATGGACTTTCCCCTCCCACCTCGGCCCAAAAGGTGACAGAATCTGATGCTAAACAGAATTCTATCTCATTTATCTCAAACTACCTCCAACCTTTCAAATGGATTCCAAAGCATTTTCCATAGAACATAAGCAACTCTAATACAATCTACTTAATCTATACTAAAACATACATTAGATTGAGGAAAGCTTACTAAATTTTTACAGCTCTGTTGTGGTACTCTACATGCTGAAACTAGGTACAAGCAGCCATGCAGACCACTGGTGATGTGGTAAGGAAATGTCTGAATATGCTAAAATGGGTCAGATGTGGAACTGCTGCATTAAATTTCACTGCGCTTAAACTCGAGTCTGCACAAAAGACACTGGTACTGGATTTGCACCACCATGTCCTTTTTTTATTCCTTGAGGAAGGTCATCCCCTCTCATTTCAAGCATCACAGCTTCTATTGTCCACGCTAATTGGGAAGTGAATGTAACATTAGCTATAAATGTAATTTAAGCAGTCAAAAACTTTGAGTACACTTCTTGTGACACAAAAGCCAATATCCATCTGCCAAGTGGGATTATACTAAAATTTCTATGTAATCTTACACACAGAATTGAACCTTTGTCCTGATCCCAGCATCTTGATAACCTTTTTTAATTCATTGCCCAGTTCCATTCCACAACACATGCCAAGCAATCCATCAATACATCCACAAAACAGATAAGCTGTCCTACCTACAGTATCAAGTGTCACTGAAAATATTTGCTGTGGAATTCTTACAAATAAGAGATAAGAAAAAACTCCAAAAAGTTACTAACGTGTGAGAGGTCCAAATAAAACAACATCCAACGCTTTAAGCTGAAGCTTCTGTCTATGGCTCCGATCAATTATTTTCAAGTGAGAGATCATGAAAGCATGTTCATTTACTGCTATCCTGTGAATGACAAGACAAAACATTACCTACTCCACAAGCTATATTCAAAACCAGTCTATGGAAAGAAATACATCAATAGCATTTCCCACAGATTATAGTTATGTAATTAGAGTGACAAATATAATACAATGACAGTGATGCCATAAAAAAAGCATATCAGCATGTGGCAAAGGAAGAATATCAAATCATTTCCCTATTCTTTTCTTGCTGGAATAATCATGAAACAAATCCATTTGGCATAGTTAAAGTTAATGGTATATCTGCAGATTTGTGATACTAACTCTCTGAAAGAGAAGCAATACCCAAATTTAGTACCTACGCTCAAGAAAAGGGGTTCTGCAGACAGTTTCTGATGTATACCCACAAAATAGATTGGAAGTCGTTCAAAAGAAAGTTTGCTACCATAGAGAATTTTGTGGTAAGAGCTTCAACAGCAAGAAATAAAACTAAGACAAAAGGAGTAGCAAGAAGTAATTGTATTTTGAAATATTTTGGCAGAAAAACCACACAGCAAGCTCTTCAAAACTGCAAAGATGCCTCTCTCTTGCATTTGACCATATCTTGTCGGACTTCAGGTTCACATAGTTGTTCCCACATACAGACTAAAGCAGCAACCTACAGAGAATTATTTGAAACTAATCCAGAAGAAACGTTCACCTGGGAAGTGTTGTTCCATTGACATTGCTGTCTCTAAAATTCTTTTCATATTGGGGCAGTTCAACAAATTCTGACAGCCACTGAAGAGTGTCCTCCTGAGTCCAGTTATGAACTGGAAGGAAAAAGTCAGTTTAATTACCTTTAATTTTTGTAAAAATCAATAGCAAGACATAGAAGACAAGCAGTAGAAAAGCAGGCTAGAGTGAACAAGAGGGTTTAGCCAAATATAATTGCAGAAAAATTAGCATTAACATTCACCAAGGTGTTTCTGGCATTTTGCCTTTGTCATTATATGCTTCTCAGAGGAAGCTTAGGCAAACTATAAACAAGCAAGCATGGAACCAATAGAAACATTTCTTTATTAAAAATTCCACAGAGTAATTTAGTGTTTTGCTTTAGTTTAAATCAGGACAGCATCTTCTGACTTTTATCTAGTTCAACTGATCTCAGTCTCAATCCTTTTGTCCTTGCTACCCTTGTCAGCAGGTGCTGTAGCCATTTAAGGCAACATTACAAGATCTTTCCCAGGATGATGGCTTAAGAACTTGTTTTCACAAGAATCTTCATAGAGACTCATGCCTACTAACCACAAAATGGGAGGAGAAAAGAGAGGGAGAGAGAAGAAAGAAAATACTGAAAGACAGAAGAAATTTAACAGGAAAACAATTAAATCTCTCTCAAATATACCCAGAACACAGCTATATTACATGCAATAATTTTCCCACGAAGAAAATTTAAATATGTAGAGAATAATTAACAATTTTCCTATACAACAGCAACAGTCTATATGAGCTTTCATAGCTACAGATGCTCTAAGAAAATAAGGAAATACTACCCACAAAAAAAACCACACCCCACATACATTTCTGGCCCTTACAGGCCAGCTGCTACAGCTTACAGCTTGGCATGGACAAAGTTGAAGTGAAATTGTTCTCTCCATTTGTGAAGTCTGCAAAAGTTTGCACATGAAAAAAAATGTCAGCCTCCTTCTGGACAGACATATCTTTGCATGAACAAATGGTTTTTTTTTTTTAAAAAAAAAAGATATTTCTCTATCTAAAACTACTTGCATGTGACAACACTGGGCAGAGATTTCTTTAGAAATCTCATCACAAGGACACATTCTCAGTGGTGTATTTTGACAATGATCCTTTAGAAAGAGCTGCTGAAAACTTGACAGGCAAGCTGCAGGCAATGGGAATTTTTATGAGTTCAAATTCATATTTCAGTTTGCATTCAAACTGAACTAAGGATTTCTAGGTTTCTTGTCTATGCTAGCATAGCTGAATAATAAGCTTAAACGTTTCAGATTTTCATCATTCCAGATAACCGGAGACAGAATACATTTCACAGACCCACTTACAGCTTTAAAAAATAAACTCACAGTACAAACCACGTGTATTCTATCCATATGAATGGCTACACCTCCTTCCCAGCATGCTGTCCCATTTCGTCCTCCGGTTTCGAGCCACAAACTGTTTTCCAGGTACTGATCTTGCAACAGACTCCGTTTTGTCATATTACTCTAAGCTTTTATGCAAAATGTCTGGGCTCTATTTGTAAACAGACCATTTTGACACTGCAAATAGTCTTACCTGTTTTGTGAATAAGTGATTAGATTTACAAGTCATTCTAAGCATCTCAAAAGGGTGGTAAGATCATCCAAAAAAATATCACCTTAACTTCATTCCAGAAATATGTTTATAAACTGATCCAAAGCAAAAGTACTGTTTTGATGTGACACAGAAAAAAAAAAAAATCACCTAAAATAGCTGCTACACATTACAGGCTTTATCACTGAGAGTACAGAACACGCAATTTTGGCAGCCATATAATTCACTGAGTTTATAAATCAAGAGAGAGAAAAAAAAGAAAAAAAGAATATAGAGAAGTTTCACTTCTACTGCTGCAAGTATTTTGTAGTCACTCTGTCAAAATTTACATAAATTTGTACTTTTTTTTATAATTCAGTAGTAATTTTAAACATGTTATGTAAGAAATGAGGTACATATTGAAGTTGTTTACAGTAGAGCCAATCACATCTGTTCTACTGCTTAGACTAATGTGATGTTTCCTTCATAAAATATCAAGGAAATTTCCCCAAACAAACCAGTTATATTTAGGAAAAAAAACCACTTTGTTATTCATTATCACTGTATCGGATACCTCCATTAGTACAGAAACCGCGAAAAGAAGCAACCGAAGTCTATCCCAAACTAGAATTGGAACTCATACTTTCTGTATTATTCTTACACTGTTATCTGTTTACATAAAAGTTAATATCAATTATGTTTTGGTGTACATTGTGTCCTTCTAAATGGCCACTCACCATTTAAACTCAGCATAATCAATACAGTCAACTCTCATTCTGGGATTTCACAGTCTGAATCTCTGCCCATGCACATATTTCACAAGAAATTTACATTTATTATGTAAACTAATTCCGCATTAGCGGAATTCCAGTGTCAGTACCCACAAATCCAACTTTTCCAGGTGGAACTGGGCTCTAAACTACCCTGTTCCCTTTCCTACAGCACCACAGTGGAGCTCTGGGAGATTGAATTCCATCAATGAAAACATTCGGACTGTTTCTTTTTGTTGATATCTTCTATATGCTAGGTATCGGCAAGAAGTATTGCTGGACTTGTCTCCAATAAGACCTTATGACCAACAAATCTGTTTATCCTACAAAAGCATACAGTACTGAGAAGCAAACTGGCCATTCAGCAGCAGCAGCCACAGCCTACTGAAACATGACACAAGTCAAGTGATATACACCAGGTGTACTCAAAGTTAAGCAAGTCAGCTGAAATTCATCTCAATCAGCAGTGCCAATCAGAATGTGACAGCTGAGGTTGTAACTTCCTTGTTTTAAACACCCAAAAAGTATATAGTGCTTCAGACAGTGGAGTAGCAACTGACAATTACTTTAAGTTAAATGCATATAGCTTTAATGAGTAATCATAACATCCTTCCCTCTCATGCTTATTTTCACAAATAGATATCTTGAGAGAGGGGATGTCAGCAACACGCCTTGGGCAGGCAGGTGTAGAAGCCACAGTGTTTACACTCCAGTGCAGCGTTCAGTCACTAGACTTGCATCACCTGTTCTAATTCAGATCACAAGTCTGGGGGTTTTGCTAGCTTTTTTTCTTTTTTTAACCACTATAACAACACACCTGAAGGTGAAAACAGCAAAAGTAGCTTCAAACTGTATGAAAGTTGATCCTTGCTAACCCACATCAATGGCTGATTAGAAGATCTGGCTATATATCACTTTTTCATGTTAAATTTATCATGTAGCACAGTGCTTCAGGGCAGGGAGGCATGAAGTAAAACAACATTACACTGTCAGCCCCAGTACTCCTATGGGCCTCCTACTCCTTTCAGAAATCAAATTACATTCAATATTTCATGGCAAGGAGTGAATGACAGCCATATATTAGGCTTAAAGTTGAGAACGGGCTGACCAGGCAATACAGAAAAACACAAGATTGTTCTGTATCAAGCACACACAAGAATTCAAAAGTTACTTTTGTTTTAGTGGGACCTTCAGCAGCAACATCAGCATGAAATATGTTGCCACCAGTAGGCTTTTAAACAGCATGAAAAAGCAGCAGAGAGAAGTGACCCTGACTATCTTTTCAAAATTAGATTACAATGTTTAACATTACAACTCCTGTTTCCCCTCACGCAGAAGGGCCAGCCTGCAGTACTGTACTGGTCCTGCCTGGAACAGCGCACAGCATGATGTAACTCATCCGTAGCCAAGCCCTGCTTGCATACATTTCCAATCTCCGGATATGTAAAACCTGAGACAGCAAACGATTAAGAAAGTGCAAGGCAACAGTAACATCTTTGTGGTATGCGGTTTAGTCCCAGCTGCCACAGGAACACTGGTGCAACATTACCTCAGAATACAACAGGTGATCACACATAAAGCCTTACCTCCCCTCCCTAATAAATAAGGTACCAGACTTTCCATCCCCTTCTACTTTCCACAGAGAAAGAAAAAATGTTAAAGAAAAAAAAATACAGAAGGCAGAGGAGAAGCTTTTTTTGTATTATAGGGCGGTCTACAGGACACACTATACATTAAAGGTCAAATATGCCATAATGGTAAATAAAAACTACTTTTTTTTTTTTAAGGCAGTTTGTAAAAACTAGGTTTTTGGTAGGACTCAGATTAGTCTGACAATAGTAAAACACTCATGAAATCCAGGTTTGACCACTACAGTTTTACTTTGCTACAAAATTAATTCCCCAGGGACAATGCTACATCACCATGAACACAGCATCCCACTTATTCACCAAGGCAGGTCAGAGAATTACCCAGCTGGAGGCCCCTGCACTGATTTTACACATTCCCTCACTATTGAGACTAAATACCCACACATCTCCCTTCAGACAGCAAATTCATATGATCTCAGACCATTAGAGGAGAAAAAAAAAAAAAAAGAGAGAAGGCAGACACCCCTGAGACACAGCACTTTCAAAAATAATTGTACAAAGACTGGTATGGAGACATCAAAACACATGTTTATCTGTCACCTTTGCTGCACTCATAACTACCACCTCTTCAAGGCCCTTGTAGAAAAAATACTGAAGATTCACCTTTGATTTTAACCCAACAATAAGTACTAAGCTTGATACTTTAGTATAGCTGAAAGGCTCTGTATATGTATAAATACTGCTTAGTTAGAAAGGAGATAGTCAAAGCAAATACCCTACAACAAGCATATACTGGCATTTACATTTAAAGAACAGAAACACACAATAATAAAAGTCAGAGAGCTTTCAGAAAGCAGTGTTTTCTATGCTTTAAACAGTTATGTTAGTTCCTAGCCATTCCTCTGAATGGAGTTCTCTCTATAGAATTAGATTATGAAATTTAAAAATTTAAATGGTCATAAAAAGCATAAATAACATCAACTAAACTAAGTTAGGCAACAGTCTCGTTTTGTACCAAAGGACCCACTGAAACTGCGTGGCAACACAGCAACAATAGGCTAGATGCTGATTTAAGCTATATGATTCCTTCCACGCAGGTAAAACCTATAGCAGCCTTGAAATTCCTTTAATTTGCACCAGTACAGACCATGCCTTAAAGATGAGGATAAAAGCCTGCCCAGTGCCAGAAATATTTAAAAAGCAGCTTCAGAATATTACTTTTTATTAGGCAATTTTTAAAGCTTTGAACGGAACCAGTCCTCAGGGTTCCACCACCATATAAGATCCTTCACAAGCAATTCCTTACCAACAACCTTTGTTTTTCTTAATCCTAAAAGGAGGCACCAAACACCAATGGCACACTTACTATACCATAAACAGTGTTTCCACTTTCTTCCCTTAAATCTTAGCTGTCTCACACCACCAACATCTTAAACAGAAAGCAACTCTATGCTATTTATAAGTATTTGACAAATACTGAAGACAACCATCCACATAAAGCAAGTTTATGGGAAGGAATGGGCAATTCTACTCAGCATAAACTAAGCAGCAATAGATCCAGAAGATGTTTCTGCATAAGCACTAATGGGCACTGTCAAGGGCACTATTTAGAGCTTGTAATTCTCACACAGATACCTCAACAGACTACTTAACGAAGTTTCAAATTACTGATACCATCATTTACACTACCTTCCACCCCTCTCAGTTTAATGCTGTCAAATTGCATTAAACTGGCACTATAAACTAGCACTATAAGAAGCAAATAAATCAAAAACCCTAAAACATCTAGAAAGGAAAAGCAGCATTTTCCATGTTTCCCAATGGTAAATGAAAATAGTTTATTATTTGAGAGGCTTCATGCTTTCTAAGTCACCAGGCCACTGTTAACACTGCTTGGGAGTCTCATTCTATGGGTGCTCCTGTGGTACAACTTCAGTTTCCTCAGCAGGATGCACAGTAAAGCCATTATAAATAGACACAATAGGACCAGACATTCCTCTCAAAATCTTTTGAGTCTTACTCACAATGACCACTACATTCAAGAAACCTGGAACAAAGATATACACAATAGACAAATAAGATACTTCTCACTATAGCCTAAGTTTTTGAAGAGTTACTCATAAGTTAGATGAACAATTGTAGGAAGATAATTTTCTCTGATAATTTAGTTGCAATGATTTCACTGAGCAAGATCTTTACCGAATAAGCATTTAGAGAATATTTGAAGACATGAGGCCAAAAATCACTGCTTAAGACAGATATTTACTAAATAGCAAACACTTAACCAACATATTACCTCAGATTGCACTTAAATGAGTTCCTACATCAGCAGAATGAACTAATGTCATGTTCCTACTTTCATTCCTCTTTTGTTCCTATTTTAGTTGTTTGACTAATACCAACTTTTAGATCTCTATATGGTCACCGTTATCACAACACCTTCTGAATGATGGGGGGAAAAAAATAGTTAAGTAGTTTTCTCCTAACAACTGTAACAGTCCAAACCTCTGGAAGTGTCACTACATCCTAGAACATATTTAGCAATGAACACCGTACTGCTCATTAAGTATTGTCTTTTGATAACTGGAGTATTTGGCTCAACTTGCTTATTTCATTCATATCAAAGCAGAAGAGGAATGGTGGTGGTGGCTTGTCAGTCCATTTTCCTGTATACCAAGTTTAAAAAGATTTTCCAAAAATGCTTTGGACCAAGAACTCTAGTTCTTTGTAGCCCAAAGAAAGTTTACATCAAAGTAGAAGTACATTGGACCTTCCACTTAAAACAATGTATAACAAATGTTTAAAAACAGCTTGACAGCAGCCCTTGGGGTTTACTAAATTGAAAACATGCTTATCTGAAATTCAGCGCTTGCAACAGTCACCTTCATAAATTACAAGCTCATACTGAGGAGTGTGTAAACTAGCTTAGTTTACTTACAACACACCCAGCATGTCAAGAGGAAATTACCACTAGCTGGACCAAATTGAGTTTTTAGTCAGGTTTACGTGCCCCTATAAATAACACTACCAAAACAGATTCATGAAGATGCTTTAAAAGAGGTCATCCATTTACTACTGTAAACAACTTGGTGGAAAAATTGTTGAATTATGTTTATTTCAATAACCACCATCATTTTTAGCTACTCTTCTTTACCTACCTTCAGATGTTTTCCAGCGTTTCCACAGATCCTCAATGGTGATATGTTTGTCTTCTCTGTGCAGGTGACTATGTTTATTAGAGGCGTCCTTGTATTGCATATCTTCCCTTAGAAACTGAAGAGAAGGGAAAACATCTTCTTAAATGCCAAGATAGCAATTTCTAAACAGAAACTACAAGGAAATCAGGTAGAGGAGAATCTTTACTATCTCTTCCCCATGCAAGCAGCCCACAATTCATGTAAGTTGACATCAAACAGTCAGCAAGTTAAACACTTACAGGATTTGATTTTCACAGTGATTAAATCCTAGAAAAACTGAAGGTGCAGTTGGTAGTATAGTAGGTTTAACAACATTATTGGTATGCTTTAAATTTACAGTGATTACAAGGGCACCATGCAAGTCATGCTGTGTATTTCTCTATTCTGAACTCATTTAACCAACTTCACCTACTTGAAGATAAGATCATGTAAGATTTGAAAATGTGCCAGTCCTTTATGGATGAGTAATACCTGAATCCTGCTATATTAAACACAACTGCTTGAGGGATGAGAGAAAGGTGTTGACTAAGTATTACTAAAGTCTTTTCATTAGACAAAAAAAATTACTTCTATTTCATCAAATTAAAAAGCAGAAGTCATCTTAGGGCCAATTTTATTCCTGCTAATCATTCCTCAGTGGTTACACTCCAAACATAGAAGCATTACACCAAGCGGTTTCATTCACACTAATTAATAGGAAGCCTATGCCAAAATACCACGCTTTTCCTTTTAGTAAACATGGTAAAAAGGAAGATCCTGCAATCATGTCACATGTTGCAGTGTGGTATCAGTATTCCACAAGTCACTACAAACGGGTTCTCCAAATACATACAAGAAAAGAAAGCATAGAACTGTAAAACTCATTTTTATTTCACACAGGCCTAGAAAAGTTGGAATACTGGTTAGCAAACCACCTCCCATTAATAGTGGATACCTTTCATAGACATCAGTCCTTAAAAACACAGCACAAGCAGTCTCTGTGGATGGAGCCCCTAGTATTAGTACCACAAAACTAACACGAGAGCTAAGTAATCTTCCACAGTAGATTGCTTGCTCTCTTCAGTTCCTGAAGGATAAGCTGCTCCAACAAAAACAGCTATAAGATAATCATGACAGCTAACTCAAAAACCAGCTTTTTATGTGCCTGGTCATATAACATCACCACTTCAAGCAGAGGTGAGGAAGAAGGCCAAGCTAGTGATGCACTGCAGAAGACCCCACTTCTTAAAATTTAGTCCTGGTAATTAATAACTTATCTGCAGAGCTTCCTGCATAGGCCCCTAGAGATGATGTCATGAAAGAAACTGCAGGAGAGACTGAACAGTAGTCAATGTTAAACCATAATATTAACTCTTAATTAAAAAAAGACAGTGTATAATAGCAGAAATATGCAAGAAAAAGCTAACAATTATCAATCTCCCCTTATTAAGAATTTAATTCTTACTAGGAAGTAAGGGAGTCTAAAAATAGGGGAAGAGATTCAAGTTTCTCCTCTAACTGCTAGACTTGGGATAAAGTACTAGTTGCCTTCCCTAATCTAATCATAAACCCATACACGCCTTTTGGTTCCACATACAGATTGGATACAAACCCCCTCTCATTCATCTACCACTTCAAAACTTTTTTAATTGTCAGACATAAGCTTTCTACAGCCATTTGATGGCTAAAATAGTTTCATTTAGCCCATATAAATTGCACAAGCAGTTTTAACTACTCTTCCCTATGTTTATGAGAAAGGCATAAATACAGACATATATACACACATATATATCAATGACAAATATAGGAGAAATTTATGAAGTATATGAGAAAATTGAAAATAGCAACCTGTTGGGCAGAGGCAATTACAAAACTTCTGAAACATCATGGATCAGTAACTGTAAAAAGGTACAATAAGCACAGAAAAGGACTGACTGCTGTAACTACATGCAAATGTAAAAATATCTGCTGCATAACCTCTGTGCACATTCCACAGTCCAAATGTGAACTCTGAGTACTTCCCAAATTGGCACAACTACCATGAAGCCGGCAATTTCCACAGCTAACATACAACATGCAAAGGCGTGTTACCGGAAAGCAGCAAAATAATTCACTCTCTAAGACTTATTTTGAAGTTTTAGAAAGCAGGCATTCTTTATTGCAGTGCTGGGTGCATGGGGGATAACTCCACCTAACATGCACACCCAAAAGACAAAACTAGCAAATATTTATACTATGTTAATATACATATTCAGTATATTTCCGAGTAGTGCTTATCACATTCATGGATTTTCCGGGAACTTGTTAGCATATGCTAATATCTTTCGCCCATGTTTGTTGGCACCTCCATGTAGTAGTCCTCAGGGGTCTTCAGACTCAGTCCTAGTATCACATATAACTTATCCCTCAAGGCTGGTTTTGTGATCACCTTGTAACTTTCTTATCTTTGCGCATCTGTTCTTCCAAGGCCGAGCTGTTTAAAATGAGATTGTTCCAGAGCTTCTTATCTTACAACTAATTATTTTCTAAGTTACAATGTTCTCCCTTTTGTTTGGTTACATCTATTGAGCAATGGCTCTAATTGCTTGAATTGATCTTAATATTTCAATATTCACAGGTATCAGGCAGATTATCTTATTTGTTCCAATTCCATGTTTATTAAAGGGTAAACTGAAGAAAAGAAACTAAACAAGAAAACAAAAAAAAAAATCTTCTTATGCACCAATGTCTCTAAGCCTTTCCACATTAAAGTACGGTCTCACAGTTGGAGCAGCAGGAAAGAACTGACGTTTGCTCACCTCACCTTTTCCCTTCAGACTGCAAGTACTATCAACTTGTCTTTTGGGAACTTGTGAAACATGTACTAAAAAGAGAAAAATATATTATAGGTCCCTCCACGTGAAGATTATCTCCCTTCATATGGAGGTTAAGGTACACGTTAACAGTCACTCTCCAACTTTCTAGTGACTGGTGATGCACTGCCCTTGGAGACTCCAAATGTCAGGCCTGGACATTTGTTTTAAAAACAAACATCGCAGGTTGATGGAGTTTCTGAAGAGGAACAGAATGGAATATGCACTGTACGTAAAGGTTTCCGCTCATTTTGCATCTCCTCAGCTAAAACTCATACCTCAGATCAGTTTTGTTTGTAAGAAATAAACTTGTTTCTATCTTTACTGCTAGTTGTCAGCAAAGGTTGTAAAATACTTTAGGATGAGACTGTCTGAACAGTTACATGTGCTGTCAAGGACAATCTGAATTGCTGTTAACAATACAGGGTTAGGCATAAACGAGAGAGGGAAGATGCCAACTGATAAACAGAGAAGCTTCAAGGTACATCTCACCCTGAAGCACTATAAGGTACTAGAAGAAAGCGTTCTGATTTTTAAAATGGGACTGGCATAGGTTACCTTAGCACTCAGATAAACAATGCAAACAACAGTTTATGGAAAACGAGCATGTTGTTCTGCTACGGAGCCCACAGAGGGAGCAAGAGTTAACACATGAATTCACATTCTCAACACACTGCTGGAATACAACCAGCTACACTAACAAGTTGAGGGGAAAAAGTGAAAAGCCTGATTTCAAATTTCATCACAAATACAGAAAACAAATCCAAATTCAAAGCACAAGATTTCCCAGGAGAGGAAGATGACAATGGAAAAGATCTGGTTGATACTGAGAGACTGTTTAGAGTATTGATTTTTTTTAAAGGGACTGTCAACGTACAAACTTGTAAGCAGTTTGCATTTGTAAGCATGCACTTACTCCACAGAGAGAGAGATTACACATTTATGAGAATTTCTTCAAGAAAAGAGCTCCTCTTTTGTTCAATCCTACCCATGTTGCTCCCAGATCCTGTGAGAATAACCACAGCAAATTCCACAACAAGGTTCTCCAACACCAGATGCTCACAACAGTAAAGTTACAGTGTGCACAGCTAGAAAGAGGGCATCACATTTCAAACAATGAATGCATTTACTAGTGAAGATATATACGACATCAAACATCTTTCTTTTGTTTAAAAGATCTTTGTTTCAAAATTGCCCTAATATGGAAGTTCTCCTTTAAGAAAAGGAATTGTGTCCTAAATTGAAGAAAGCCATAAAAACAGAACAACTCTGGTAAAAAGAGAAGATTTTTCTGTTCTTTGTCATGGCAGCTAATCTCTCTTCTGTTGCCCTATTCATTAAGTATACAAAGAAAAGGTTAGAAAAATAACTCTAAATAGGGAGGTTGAAAGAATAAGCTCTAACAAAACACATCTAAGGATTATCTTAGCCAACATAATTACTCAAGAGAGAGAAGGCCTTTTAAGACCACAAAGTTGAAACCAAGAAAGCAGCAGATAAGTTATCTAAAAACTGTGTGAAACAAAAAAAAATCATTTGTCAAAGTAGTTACTTCAAAAACGAGTAGGGAGCAAAGAAACACCACACCTAGACTCAAAACTGGAGTTCTGACCTCAAAAGTACCATAACAACTGTGCCCCTACAAAGATTCACACCCCAGAGCCCAAGGGTCAGTAGTGTAATAGGCAGAGAAGAAACTTTCTCCTCCCTGGAGGGGACCATGCTTGTGGAGCCCTAGAAAAGAGTCAGGTACACCGCAACCTTCCTTCCTCTTCAGAAAGCCTTTAGTACAGTCAACTCATAACCCAAAACTAACCTGAAGCAAGAACCACCAGAAAAAAAAAATTCCAGCCCTTCCAAAAGGGGAAAAAAGACACACCAAAATCCAGTACCGGTTTGACGCAGAGAGAGCACGTACAAACTAAAGCCACATGCAACAACACAAAAAGTTAAAATACGTTAAAATATGGAAGTTGCAAGAGATGCTTGCTCCGTGAGGAGCAAATAAGCAATTGCACACTTTTGCAAACACCACTAGAAAAGTAAAAGTAACCACACTCTCAAACTGCAGAAGGAAGTCCTCATATGCTATGTTTATATTTTGTTCTGGGTGAAGGCTCAAGTTTATGATTTTCAGTTTCACCAACTTAAAATAGACCCTCTAACTGACAAGTTTACTTTAAGAGCAATTAGTAACATCTCCTGGCTAAGTATTACTGTCTTCCTTGAGCATCTATTCCTTATA